TCGATAAGAATAATCGTCTTAAACTCTATAACCTATATAATATAGAAACTTAGTCTAATTTATAAAGGGCCTTATATTATAGCTTAGTTAATATCGTTATCTAGAATATCGTATTCCTTCTAGATTACGTCCTCCGATTCGTTAGTACTATTTAGTTCTATAACCTCCTTAACTAGCTTAGAACCTATAGATAGTTTAGTATTTACTACTAAATAGATCTTCTACTCTAAAGCTTTCTTCTTTATAAACTAAAATTTATTATCTTCCTATAGTATCTTTTCGATCGCTCTTCGAAGCTCGCGCTCTAGCTCTACTTACTTATAGCGAACCTGCCGTATCGTCTCTACGCTACGAGACTATAGTAGGTCCTTATTTCGTTTAATTTTATTTATAGTAAATTTTATTCTCTAGTATAACTACGCGACTATCTCGCTACGAATATTATCGTTAAGTACTCTTACGAGCGATTTAGTATTAACTAGGAAAAGTTCGATCTAGTCTATAGTTACTAGTAGTCTATATACTATAATATATCGGATTTATACTATATTTATAAGAAGACTAGATAATAGCTTATCGTTAATCCTAATAGCCTACTCTAATATCTTTCTTTTAAAATTAGCTATAATCTTTAGCTATTTATTAAGCTTAATATATTCTATATAGATCTACTCTTACTTTTCTAAAAAATTTAGTATTTTAATAAGTCTAAACTTATAGGATACTTTCTTTAGAATAGTTTAAAGCTTATTTATTACTAAATACTAGGTCCTTATTAGTAAGTATATAGGATATAATAACGGTAGATAAGTAGTTATTTCTATAAATAACCTTTTATAAAAGGAAGTTATAGTATCTATTTCTAAGCTAATTATTAGCTTTCTACGTCTCTTTTTATATATCTATAGGCCGTTAACTTACTAGTATAGTTAATCTATAAATATATAGATATCTAGGTTCGTTAGTAACCTCCTACTACTTTTTCTAGACTATTATTCTCTACTCTAGAGACTTTCTACTTAGAATCGGTATAGCTAGTACTTTAGGTAATAGATACTTCGAATAGTTCTAGAAATTAGAGCTTAGCTTTCGATATAGATTAAAAGATCTTAGCTTCTAAAAGACGCTTTATAATATTCGCGATATTTTTAAAATTATACTCCTAGACTAGTACTATAAGCTTAGTAGAATTCTATAACTAGATTTTTGCTTTAATTTTCTTTAACGATCTAAGCTAAGAGTCGCTAGTAATAAGTATACTTCGGAGCGCTATATATACTACTCTCTTATTAGGTTAGATTAGTACTATCTATATAACGTATAACTAACTTCTTTTAGGTTAGCGTAACTAGTAGATAGTAAGAGTTAAGTTACGTTTCTAAAGATCTTACTAATACTTATAGAGATTTATATAAAATAGAAAAGTATCTTCTAAAGCGAATCGAGTAAGTTATAATAAGCGTTTAGTATCTCTTAACTCTAAGTAAACTTACTTATTACTATATTATAGACGATTAAGTAAACTTAGTCTCTCTAGAATAGAAGATATTATATTATTACTTATCGTCTAGAAGATTATCTATAGTATAAATAAAGCAAACGTAGAGAGTAAGCTAGATAATCTAATACTATAAAGTAGCTTAATATTACTACGAATTACTTAGAACTATATATATACTAACTCGAGCGCGTCTATCTATAGCGAGCCTTACTATATCTATCGCGTCTAGCTTAAAAGTATAGTAAATAATAGAGCTCTATAGCGATAATATTACGTTTATATAGTAAGAGTATCGTCGAGAGAGTAAGTAGTATACTTAGTTACTATAAGTTATTAAGCTTCTAAGTTATATTAAAATTTACTAGTTAGTATATAGTACGTCTATATATAGTTACTTTCTCGCCTACTTATATATAGTATCTACTTCGCTATAATAGCTAATTACTTATAAAAGATATATTATTTACTACTACTTATTATTCTCTATCGCTAGTACTAGACTCGATCCTTAGTAATAAATCTTCTCTCTATATAATATAAGTATACTTATATTTATAATAGAGATATACGAGACTAGGTAACTACTATACTTCCTATAGTATTTAGATTTCGTTTCTTATATATTAAACCTCTCTATATTAGTCTAGTCTAGAATATAATAGCTAATACTAGCTATACTATAGAGGATTATCGAAATCGAGTTAGTACTAATAGATAGTAGACTACTATACTCGGTTCGTAGGTAGAATTAAAATACTAAGTCGATCTCTAATATATAGAAATATCGACTTTATTCTTTTAACTAAGTATATAGTCGGATTCTTAATACTCGATTACTAATCTAATACTTTTACGTATAGAATAATATAGTATAAGGAGCGAATCTATAGTATATCTCTACTTCTATATTAAGCTTCTATTAATATTCGGCTAATTATACTATAAATTACTTCTTAAGAATATATAAAAGCTAGCT